GGCCACTGCACTCCAGTCTGGGCGACAGAGTGAGACTCCAACTCAAAAAAAAAAGTATGAGTGCTTATATTTTAAAATTCAATGTAGGGATTAGAAAATAAAGCTAAGATGATATCCCAGAAGATAAAATAAAAGATGAAGACATATATATAAGCAGAGAAAAAATGTTTGACAACAGGTTCAGTTGGTCTCACACCTAATTAATTGAAGTTTCAGGAGCAGAAATGAGAAAAAGGCAAGGAATATATCAAGGAAATACTAAAGTTATTATGAAATTTTAGGACACAAGGATAAAGAGAAGACTATAAAAGCTCCCTGAAATGTAAAAGAAAAAAAGATCACATACCTTTGAATATTTGTCCCCTTCAAAATTTATGTTTAAATTTAATTTCAATGTGGCAGTGTTGAGAGGTGAGGCCTTTAAGAGGTTGGTCACCAGGGCTCTGCCCTCATGAATGATCAGTTCCTGGATTAATGGACTAGTAGGTTAATGGATTAATGGGCTATCATGGGAGTGGGGCTCATGGCTGGATAAGGAGAGGAAGAAAGACTTGAGGTAGCACACTCAGCCCTTCCCCATGCGACGCCCTGCACCACCTCAGGACTGTTACAGTCCCCACCAGCAAGAAGATCCTCACCAGATTTCTCCCTCAACTTCGGACTTCTCAGTTTTCGTAACTGAAAAAATAAATTCAATTTCTTTATAAGTTATGAACTAAGACACCTACCAAAGAACTGGAATAAGAATGACATCAGACTTTTCATCCTAAAAACACCTGAATGCTGGAAGATAGGCTGGGTGCAGAATCCTAGACTGGAAAGTATTTCCCCTTAGAATTTTGACAACATTGCACAATTTTCAGAGGACAGAGTGGAGAGTTTTATGATTTTCAAAAATGCAAAAACTGTATTTACTTTCTAAGGAAGCTCCTTCAAAGCACCCCAGCAAAATGAGGCATAAACAAATCTTAATACGAGCTCCTAGCTTCAACCTAGGCCCAACAATGAAACAGAAAAATGGAGATCTTCAAAGGGAGGACACCAGGGGGAAAGATCAGTTACAATATAATGTAATTAAAGACATGTAGGAAAATGTTAAGAGCATGAGGCCTGGAGTCAGACTTATTTTTTTTTTTTTTGAG